TAATTGAACTAACTAAATCAAATAAATAAGTTTAATTATATCAATATAGCTAAATACATTAATCTGATTCAATTAAGGCCAATAATCAAATTCTAATTTCGTTTTAATTTTCTATTTTTAGTATAAAGTCCAAAAATATTACCACGTCCATAATTTAACTAATTTATCCATTAAACTAATTGATTTAGTTAAACTAGTCCACTGAAGTTAATTAACTAAATTATTAAGTACACATTACTTAATTAACTTGTTTATATTAATCAACTAATTTTTATGAGTTCAAATAGTTTAATAATTTATTTGGAGTCCAAATCAATAATAATCAAGGATAATAATTATTAATTTAATCACACTAATTTAATTAGTCCACTAATTCAATAATTTATTTATTAAGTCCAAATATAGTCATTCATTTATGCTAGTTATCCCAACTTTATTTTCTTTTCCTTATTTTATTCCAAACCTCATTTTAGTCCAGAATATTATTTCCAATCTTAGTGATTTTATTTATTTCACCATTATTATTCAAATTTTCTTATTTAATTACTTAACTAGTTTTATATGGCCCAATTAAATTAAATAGATTAAGAACCGACTTTATAAATTTATAACCGTCCATGACTATATTTTGGGTCTATATTTGACCTAGGTTGTCCAGATATTTATTTTAGAATTATTTCCCTTATTTATTCATTTAATTTCATATATCTATTAACCAGTTTAATTACAATTAAATATACTAATCATAATTTTTATTAAATATAAATGGTCCCAGATGTACTAGTTAGTCATATATTTAACCTAATTTACTCAAATAATTATTTCATAATTTATTTCGTCGTTTAGTTACTTATTTACTAAATATGTACAAATTGGCCCAATTACAATTAAATCAATTAAAAATAGTTAAAAATATTAATTTTCAATTATGGTTGGTCCGAATATGTATATATATACTAGGTATTTAATTTATCTTTTTCCAGATTTTATTTATTTCATTTACTATTTTATTTTTAATTTTTATGTAAAATAGGCCGAACCGGCCCAAATACGCGACCCGGCCTAAGAAGACTAGGTTGTCTTCTTCCCAGCTCTTCTCCAGGTCGCAATTCCGGCGACCGGATTTACGAAAACTTTGGCGAGCGATAACTTTACTTACAGGTAACGGTTTTCGACGATTCAAGTTGCAAATATCCTCACGTCGAGACGAAGCTCCTCCACCCCTATCTACGGCCAAATGTCCGCTTTTTCTGAAGACCCGTTTGCACGACTTGACACTCCGGCGACGTCTAAGCAACTCCGGTAACTACGAATCGGTCTGGAATTTATTGAGAAGTATTTCTAGACCTCTCACGACTCTCCTCTATCGTTTTTACGAAGTTTGATACGTAAAATAATATAGATATAAATTTTTCCGGCGAGATTATGTATATATATGTATATGTATATATAGCTTCTATCTCTCCGATTTGCAGTGTTTGGGATGGCTAAGAGAGTGTATTTATAGGTCTAGATAGTCCTTATGGTTTATTTTATTTATTTGATAATTGTATGAATAATAATAATAATAATAATAATAATAATAATGTCTATGATAGGTTAGTAGTTGATGAACATGACATGTGTATTGATTCATGATTTGATTCCCATTTATATTGATGTTTCATTTTATTTTTATTTTTTTTTTTTTTTTTAATTTTTACATATAAATATATATAATTATATAAGTAGATATATGTACATAATGTATATACATTATTTGGTAGGTGATCCTAGCATGTGCCATTGTTTTATGATCTGATATTTTCATTTATTAATTTCATGCTATTATTAGTAATTTTTAATATTCTTACTATTTTTATTTATTTATTTATTCCGTCATCTATATTTTATCTGATTTATTTCCATTTTATTTTTATTTTATTTTTCTGATGCCACATAAGTGTTTAATTCTATTGCATGTAGTGTGCATATATTTTTATACACCAAGTATAATACAAAATATTTTGATATTACTTTCATTTGATTTATCAGATATAACTTATCTGATTTATTTATTTATTTATTTATTTATTTTTATTTCAAATTTTCAAGGTATCACGGCAGCTCTCTCTTCGACGTGATTGGACCCAGATAATCCTTATCAAGCTGAATATAGTAGCTCACAATAGAGACACACAACGTTATAATATCCACCCACTTGTGGCTAAATCCCATTCGAATCATAATCTTCTTAAGAAAATCCCAATGGACTCTATCATATGCCTTACTCTTATCAAGTTTAAGAGCCACGTACCCTTCGTTTCCAAAGCTCTTACGTTTTAAACAGTGTTGGGTTTCAAAAGCCACAATGATATTATCAACTATGGATCTCCCTGGGATGAAAGCACTTTGATTCTCTCTTACAAGACTCCCTAATATCCCTTTTAGTCGATTAGCAATAACCTTTGAAAAAATCATATATATAACATTACACAAGGCTATCAATCTCCAATCTCCCATAGTTTTAGGCTTCTTCTTCTTCGGGATTAAAACTGTATTAGTCACATTTAATTGACTAGGTAAAATGCATGTTTCGAAAATACCTGCACACAGGCGTGTCACCTCCGATCCCACTATGTCCCACAACTTATGAAACAAGGCTGGATTCATACCATCTGACCCTGGAGCCTTCTCCAGATGCATATAAAAAATAGCCACCTTAACCTCCCCTTGATTAATAGCCCTTACATGTTCTGGTTAGCCGTGACATGTGAAAAGCTACCCATGCCCAACTAGTTCTGCTCCTCAGCCCTCCCTGAAATAAATAATCAAAATAGTCCCTCACCATATCCTCCATTCTCCCTCTATCCGTGATCCAGGTGCCATCAACCGCACGTAACCCGAGCACCTTATTCCTTCTTCATCTTTGCTTAACCGCATTGTGAAAAAACCAGGAGTTAATGTCCCCCTCTCTCAGCCAGAATCCCTTTGCTCTCTCCCACCAGTATAAATTTTCTTTTTCCATCAACATTTGAATAACTTATTTGACTCTGATGAATTCCGACGTGCTCCTCGCATCATCTCTCCCTCTCAGCCAGACTAATCTTTTCTTGCGGGCCAGAATTTGGTGTCTAAATTCCTTTTGTCTATGCCCATCCCACCTTAGAAATTCTTTCCCACAGAAAGTAATTCTTTCACTCACTGTCATATATTGACTTGCACTCCAACTGCTTGCCACCACCATGCAACACTCTTCCTCCTTTAACCACATATTCTCAAACTTGAATCTTTTCGGTTTTCTTCCATGTATGGTTGGGAAAAAATTCACCCATAAGGCCATGTGATCACTAACTGGAGCCTCAATGGAAGATGTCTGAGCTGCCATAAAATTGTTCCACCAATCGTCGTTTACCAAAATCTGATCTAGTTTTTCCTCCACCCGATGTGCAGTTCCTTTACCTCTATCCCATGTCCACTCATATCCCTCAAAGGGGAAATCTCATACGCCACTACCAATCATTGCATCTCAGAAACCTTTCGTTCTCCAGGTAAGGTGGGGGATCCTACCCTTTTTTCTGAATCATATAAAATAACATTAAAATCACCAATCACCATCCATGAGAGTGTATTGTCCTCAGCCAGGCCCCGTAACATATCCCACGCTTCACTCCGACGTCGTGTTTCTAGAAAAGCGTAATAACAGGTAAGCCGCCATGCCGGTTCTCCTTCCACCATCTTAATCAAACAGTCCACGTAATTTTGCTGAAAGGCCTTGATGGTCACATCCACCTCGTCGTTCCATCCTAGGGCAAGAACTTTGTTGTTGCCTTCATTGTTCGTCCCTACACACTGCTGATAGCCCTGTGTGCGAAGGAGGTCCTTCGCTCGTTGACACCGAATTTTAGTTTCCATGAGGAAGATAATCGATGAACGATATCCTTGAACAATATCTGCCGCCCCTTGCACGGTAGCCAAGTTTTCTAAACCTCTGCAGTTCCAATTGATTATGCTCATGCTGAGAAGAAAAACGCAGGACACCGGGACCGGGAAAGTCACTGTCAGAAAAAGACCTAGGCTAAACCTAGAGACAACCGCTTTTTACCTCTCAATCTCTCATAATTCTACTTTTCTTAAAAACCATACCACTCTCTTCCGTCCCAGTATTGAGGGGATAGAGGTAGTATAATATTATAATGTAGATGAAAAGAGAGTAAAATACGATTTAGGTTTTCATCAACAATGATATAAAACAACATCATTATTTAAATAGTTTCATCTTGATCAATTAAATTTTGAATGACGTAAAGTCACCGACTCTCTTCGCGACTTCGCCCTCTAGCAGGCGTCAACACGCAGCACGGTAGTATCGTCACGTTGTTCGGTGCCAACACTGTAGCATGCCTCTTCAGTCATCACCTCAAGTGCACGCCGCCTGATTGACTTCTCTCTGCCACTCCCGCTTAGGTGGTTCGGCCAATCGGTACTTCTCAATTTTCACATTCAGTAGTTCCATATTCCTCCGGTCCTTTATAAATTGTTTTAATTCATTGTTGTTTATAAATATTTAGTTAAATTAATGATATTATTGTTTGTTAAAACCTAAGCAAACTGTTGAGAAAATAAACATAATCATAATATCTTTGTAATTTTTGTCAAATTTATAAATTTAACAATTTGTTTTTGAAATTTTCATCAAATCTACAAATTTAACAATTTGTTTTTGCAATTTCATCAGATTTGGAGAAGTGGTGGAACATAGAAGGTGTAAAGGGACATAAGAGAGAAAGGCACGAAGTTGAGGGGGAGAGAAGAAGTGGATTGACCAGAGCATAAAATGAATGAACTAGATACCGTAGTAAGGTCATAAAATTAATGTTTGATGAAAAAGAATAACACCTCCGTTTCATTTAAAAGTTCTCGTTCAATATTATTCGGTCAACATCAAATCTTATTAATCTTTTACGTAATAATTTATATATACGACATTTATCAAATTTGCGTTTTTCTTCTATGTGTACCAAAAAATGCAATCCCTAAGCAGGGCTCATTACAAAAAGCCCGTTTCTATCTTGTTTCTCTCACTATCCTCTCTGTGACAAAGTTCCACCATCCACACACGATGAAGGATGGAGATGCGTAGAATACAGAGAGAGAAGTGAATAAGGATTAAGGAAGGAGAGGATGAACTGGTCATGCTTTCCATGGCCAAACCTCATTTCTTCACCCATCGCGTTGCGGCTGCATTTTGTTCGAGCTCGTTTCCTTCATCCTCTTCAAATTCCCCTTGTTAGTTGTTACAGTTGCTGCCTTGTCAAGCCTTCTGTGACTCCAGTTGTTCTCTCCTCCAGAAGACCTCCCTGCAACTCCCTTGTCTCCCAGGTCGCCACCGCCCCCTTTATATGTGTATGTGTGTGTGTGTGTGTGTGTGTATATATATATATATATATATATATATATATATATATATATATATATATAAATACCCTGGGGCATCATGCTTGCGTAGTTACGTTCTTCCCATTTTGTTTTTTTTTGTGTGAATAAATTAAAATCAGCCTGTGTTGAATGCAGTTTAAGTTAGATTTATGTATTCTTCATCCCTAAATACTTCGATTTGAAAGTTTATAAGGATAACTACGTGTGGTGATCAAACATTGTTTTTATGCTCATCTATTTAATCCATTTTTCTGCCATTACTCACAAGTTGCTCACCGAATAATAGACTATGCTTTAAATCTTAGGGTCCGTTTGAACAAGTAAAATGCCAGGGAAAGAAAAGAGAGAATAAACTATACTCCGTAGTTTATATTTGGAAGGAAAAAATATGTTGAGCAAATCAGCAAAATAACTCATTCTTAAAAGTTAAAACTAAACTTAGGTTTTTTCCTAAAATATTACTAATAAAAAAAGTGAAGTACAAAAATGTGACTCTGGTAACTTTTAGTGACTATATTTTTGTTCAAAGTTTACATCATAGTCACTACATCATATGAACTCTGAACACAATTATAGTCACTAAAAGTTACCAAGTCACATTTTTGTCCATCACTTTTCAAGGAGTAATATTAGTGGAATATTTTCAAACTAAATAATTTAAGGTTTAATATTTGTTTGAATTTCATAATTATTTATTAATTTGTATTGGATAAACTATTTCTTTAGGTGGAATTTGACTTCGCACCCCACTTTTTGGCTATATTGGACTTTGCTCCCCATTTTCAGAATCATTAGTTCACCCTATCAGCCCAAAAATTGTGAAGGAAAGGAGTGCAAAGTCAAATGATTTTCTGTTAAACGGGGTGCACACATTAATGATTTTTGAAATGAGATGCAAAGTACAATATCAACAAAAAAAGGGGCGCAAAGTAAAATCCTCCCTAAAATATTAATACTAAGATTAAACATATGCAAAAAGTTGAAAAGTTGTACTCATATTTCACTTTCCGTTGCATTTTCTGAAATAGATTCAAACACAAAGATTAATAATTCTTTGTCATTTTCTTTACCTCCTAGTATTTTCTGAGACCCAAGCATATCCTAAAAGGTTCTTTATGAACTGTTCAAGTGCCTTGCTCAATTTATCTATTCCCTCTCCTCCATGCCAAATGGGCTAATTGCTGCCAGGCAGTAAGACTGCTGGGTCCTCCTGCAAGATTCGATGCTTCAAAGCTCAAAGTTGCATTTACCAGAGAAAAGACTTGTACATATAGCAGAGTTTTGCCAAGAATATACACACTTTCACATTGCGATTTTACAGCAAATTTGACATTAACTATCTCAAATGTCATCCACCTCGATCAGGTAATGCTTCTAATCTAAACTCATTTGTAGAATTATCCTACTATGATGGAAAGCTCTTCTATCTGTTTCCAGCATCATGATGAAGCAGTCTTGAGAAAAACAGGCCTATGATATGGTTCTGGTAGACTCCTTTTATGGCCCATACTTACCAGTGGAAATCGGGTACACCTTACACCTCAGATGTAGGGGGTCGGCCAAACGTGGCTGACTAGCGACTCATGTTTAATATTTTCTATCCTAATGCGTATTTCCTTGCTCTAGTTTAGTCCAGTTTTTAGTATAATGATGTATTATCTTTATGACTGATTCCTTTTATTACTAGGACTCTTCTGATAGCTATATAAGGGTCATTAGTTGGAATAATATAATGATTTCGGGGATTAGTTTTTGTGGCTCATACATGGTTGGGCATCACCTCTCTGGAAAAGGTGTGAGGCATGATTAATCCACCATCACCATAGCTCTGTCTTCTTCAAAATTATTATCCTTCTTCAGACGTCTTCTAGGAGACCTTGGACGAGATGTTGTATGTGCACTGTTAACACACACACACACACACACACACATATATATATATATATATATATATATATATATATATATATATTCAACTTCTGAGATGTTTTCAGTGACAGTTGAACAGGTGGTATAATAAAGATGATGTCATTGCTGAATGGATAGAAGTGAAAGGAAATATGTGCCTTTATGTCCATTGCTTTGTGAGTGGACCAAATCTCTTACAAGAGTTGGCTGCAGAGTTTAGATACCTTATATTCTCGAAGGAGTTGCCATTGGTAAGTTTATCAAACACATCAAGTTCTAGAAGTGTAACTAGAAAAGTGAAAGCCACTAATAAGTTTGTTAATTGAGCCACTTTTTACCACATGCGATCTGTATATTACATTATTCATCAATTGCCATAATTGAAACATGAAACAGTAACAAATATCTTGTGGTACTTTTTTATGGTTTTCGACTGCTTCTAATATTAATTGCTAATTTTCCATTACTGTGATTGATAGAGAGCTTTAGCATATGCTTTTCTGTAGTGACTACAAAATTTGAATGTAGTTCTGCTAGAAGGTTGTCATGCACTAGAAATCGCTAGTGGCATTTGACTTTTATGTGGTCTATGCTGGAAGGACCGTAAAAGGGCTTGTCAAAATTGAAATTAGTTTTGGCTGGACGCATTTCTTGCACCAGAAATTGTCACAGATTTCAAAGAGAAAATGGTTGCTGAATAATGTGCCACCAGATCAGGCACTGTAAAGCCATCTCATATATACTTGTATGCATGATAACAAAGATGAATTCAAAGTTTGATAACCATCCATGTAAACGAGGTTCTCACTGATGCTAGAAGAAAGATCCATTCTATTAATGCTACACAGACATGTCAGGAGAATTATGCTTTGAAAAAATTTACAAACAAGCCAACAATCTGTTTTATCATGCCAAGTGCAGTCACTTACAGTCATTATTCTATATCCCAGAAATGAATGATTTCACTTCGTTGATCAGGTACTTGAGGCTGTCTTATATGGTGATTCAGCTCTGTTCAAAGAGCATCCAGAACTAACAGATGCTTCAGTTCAAGTCTTCTTCCATTCTAGTTCAAAGAAATACAATCATGTTGAATGCTGGGGGGCGCTCAAGGATGCCGTGAAGGTAGTTTTGTTCATTTAAAAATCATGCCATGCATTCTGTGCATAACCACAAACACATCTATTTTCACTACCAAACCTTTATTTTACTAATTAAATATGTTGAATACTTGGTATCATCCCATGGTATTCAGGTAACTCACTACATTATGCTGAATCATCTCCAGGGAAGACCAAGAGATCACATGAATGTACTGTGATCATCAGCTAGAAGGAAAGCAACATTCTCGACCACGTAATATTTGAGGAAGCACCGAGTCCATCTCCCCAAGCAGTGGAAACCTTTCCTATAACAAGGGTGTCTAGAACCTTTGGCCTGAAGAATCCTGCAGACCCAGAAACTAATGGCCAGGTCAAACTCCCATTGATCCTCGGGGGGGGGGGGGGGGGGGGGGGGGGGGATTTGTTGAACTAGTTACCTCGGTGAACTTTTTGTTGGAAGGTTAAGGAGTGACAACTTTTCTCCTATAATTTGTACATTAATGGCAGTTCAACCCTTATTGATCATTTGGTTCTCTACTTCTCTGGTATGCACTAGGAGTTGCATTTGTATCATTCAGGTAGTAAGCTTTACAAATGTTCAAACAATTGACTGTGGTTGCAGTCTTGCAGATAACCAGATAGTAAAAAATAACTTCAATGACCACAGTGAATCTTGGAAGTTCTTTTTGAGAAATGGTCTTCAATAGGGCTAAATTATCACTTATGCACCCGTATAAGACCACTTACTTTTAAAACCTAAATAGGACCATTTTTTCCTTAATACCATTTTTGTCCCTGCTTAAATAAAAGAAGCTACTCTCTCCGCACTTGAATTTCTCTTTCCGTAGGCGGTAGGCTGTTCTCCCATTCCCACTTCTTTCTTATTTTCTCCCATTCTGCTTCGTTGTTCGATCTATTCCTTTCACGACATAATAGAAGTGCAACAAGCTACTCATCGCTGCTCCTATTTTCTCTGGCGCGGAACGGCCTATCTGTGACGGAGATTGCGGCGGCAGAGGCTGTTGTGGCGGTGACTACTCTGGCGCAATGACGGAATTACAAAAGAGAAGATGATGAGGCGGTGGTGTTTTCCCAATGCTAACTCCTGTTACTCAGGCAGTTTTAGATGTTTTATTTTTTTTCTTTTCATACCTTTTTATGCTTTTCGCAAAACATACGTAAGGTGGACTCTTAAACTTATTTTATATTTTGAATTTCTTATTTGACTAAGCATTTGAAACCTAAAGGAGTAATCCTCTTTATCAATAAGAAATTAGCCATAATAGGACTTAAACATGCTAAAAAACTCATATTAGGGCTTACCAAGTTTTCTCTCGTTAATAGGACTTATACGGTCCTATCTTACGTTTTACTACTTTAGGAAATATCCTAAATACCCCTATTCGAAGATAAGAAATTTACCGGCCTTTTTCGGTTATCCAGTTTCAAACGGTTAAGGAGTTTCCGTTTACTTGTTGGTTGAGTAGTTTCCTTATCCGAGTAGTTTCCTTGTTCGTCAATTCTGCATTCTTTTTCCTGCATTCTTTTGCCATGGATTTCTCTTGGAGTACGAGGTCATAGCTGCCTGTGTTTCGTTCTTTGCAGAGTATGTTTACTTCAAATTTAAAGCTTTCATAAAACTTGCCGTGATTCTGTTTTCGTTCGTCAATTCTTCTTCAATCGTTGTTACATTGAATTCGCAATTGCCTTCTGTTTTTTCCTTCCAGCTCTGTTTTTTTGTTCAATTTCATATTATCGATCCTTTCATCATATGATCGCTTTCAAATTCATTATAATCAACAATTTATTTCGTATGTAGTTGTACTCTGTTTTATTTCATTAAATTTCATCCGCTAGTTTAGATATCAGTTTGTATCTACAATTTATTTTGTTTTTGTTAAATTCTCTATTCTTCTACCTAAATTATGCCCTTCGAACTGTCATTTAGTTTGTTCGAACTGTCATGTATATGCATTTTTTGATTACTCCTTTTTATGTTCTGTAATTGTATATAATTGGTACACATTCTTATAAACTGTCATATTGTTAACACAACTGTCATAATTTTGTCCAAACTGTCATTTAGTTTGTCCTACGTTCCTACCTGTATATGCATTTTTTGATTTCGCCTTTTTATGTTCTGTCATTCAATGGTACACATCCTTATAAACTATCATATTGTTAACAAAACTGTCATTATTTTGTCCGAACTGTCTTTTTTCATACTGAAATATTTCTTTTGTTGCATTTTTTCAGGAACCTTTTTACCACAATGGATCCTATTTTACTTGTTATGGTCAAGGTTGACGGTTTTTGGGATTCTAACAACGTGTTCAACAATGTCCACACATGTGGCCTTCATGTTAACTATAATGTTCAATATGCTTCTTTTATTAACTCTTTGAGTGACATCCTTTCTCAGTACAAAGCTAATCATAATTTCAGGCTTTCTTATATGCGAGATGGATTTCTTCCTCCTGTTACTATAAATGATCAATCTACCTTAACATTTTATCTTTATATCAAGTCTCTTCAACCAGATTTTTCATTGTATCCACTTTGTGTTGAGTTTTATCCTGTTTCATCTTCTCCTGCATTTTCTATTGATGTTGGACCATCTGCTTCTCCTTGGTATGAAAATGTTGTCATTTCTTCACAGCAACATACCCCTTATGATGACAATGTTGTTGTTTCTTCTCCCCATGCTTCACAACAACATACCACTTATGAGAATGTTGTTGTTTCTTCTGCCCAATTACATTCCTCCTCCCCTGCACTTTCTTTTGATGATGGCCCACCATTTGGTCAATATGAAAATGTTATGCTATCTGGGGTAAGTTGTGGCCAATCCGAAGATATTGTTTCTTGTGGTAACACTGTGTCTGCAACTGTAGAAAATGAATCATCTGAAGACAGTGATGACATGTCAGATGGCCTTTTAACTAAATCATCTGACTCATTCTCATTTCTCCAAAATTTTGAAATCATCACACAGTCCCATCCTACTTGTCTTCTTCTCCATGCTCTTTACAAAAATAAAAAAGAACTTATCCACCATCTGAAGATGTATGCTATCACAAACCACTTCCAATACAGAACTAAGACATCGAAGAAAATATGTTTGCATGTTATTTGCTTAGATCCAAAATGTTGTTGGAGTGTTTGAGCTGTAAAACTACATGGCGTAACAATGTTTCAAATCAGAAGGTAACTTCACTTTTCCTTCTTTAATTCATTTCATTGTAAATTCTGGTTTATAAGAATGTCATGTTGTGTTGCCATTCTTATACAGGACTGTCAACTTCATATTATGTATTTGTATACTAATGTCATTTTTTCTTTTCAGATTCCGGCCAGTTCACACATGCTCTATTGATTACAGACAAGGCAAACATAGACAGGCATATGCTAGTGTGATAGCAAATATTATTGCACACAAATACCTTGATGCTTCCAATAAACCATACCCTCCAAAGCAAATTCGTGAGGACATGAGTATGCAGTATGGAATTTCCATGTCATACAACAAAGCTTGGAAAGCACAGAAGAAAGCAATGCAGCTGCAATTTGGTTCTGATCTTGAATCCTATTAGCTTTTGCCTTCAATGGCTTATGTGCTTGAGAAAACAAATCCTGGCTCTATGTTTAATCTAGTCACAGGGAAGGATGATGCATTTTCTACCTTTTTTATGTCATTCAAACCATGGATAGAAGCTTGGCCCTACTGCAGACATGTTCTTATATTGGATGGTTCTTTCATGAAGGCTTACTATAAAGGCACTCTCCTTACAGCTTGTTGCCAAGATGCCAATGATCACATAGTTCCTATTGCATTTGGTATTTGTGGTTCTGAAACTAAAGCTTCTTGGAAATGGTTCTTATCCAAAGTTTGTCAATCAATAAAGTACAGACATGACCTGTACGTAGTATCCGATAGGCATAAAGGGCTTATCAAGGCCGTTTCTGAACTCTTGCCACATGCTAGCCACGGTTTTTGTGTTGCTCATCTTGGTCGTAACATAACATCAAAATTCAGAGGATCTGCAGCTGGTTTGGGATGGAAGTTCAAAGCTGCCTATATGGCACCAACTATGAAAGAATATGATGAGTACTTATCCATGTTGGATTCTGAAGACCCCAGGATAAGGACTTGGCTAGACAAATTAGGTGCTAACACATTGTCAAAAGTAATGTCTGGCCCAAAGAGATATAATATTATGACATCAAATTGTGCTGAGTCTATGAACAAAGTCAATGTCTGTGCTAGAGAGTATTTTGTGTCTAAACTTGTTGATTTCTTGCGTGAAAGGATGCATCAATGGTTCACAAAGAGGAAAGATAAAGCTGAGAAAACAAGTACTATACTCACAAAGAAATGTGAGAAACGCCTGGTAGCTTTGCAAGCTGAATCCACACGTATGAAGGTATGTCAAAGCGTATTTTTTGACTTTGAATACCATTAGCCGGTTTTCATTTTTTCATCTCCTTTTATAATTCCACTTTGTTTGTTAATATGTCATTTTGTCTTTATAATTTTGTCATTTTGTGTACATATTCAAATAGTCTTACTAGCATTTTTATTTATCATTTCTCTTCTACTTAATATTCATATATAAGTTGACATTTTACATACTTCATAGCCACATATTACTGCTATATTCTTTTGCTAATTCTCTTTTTTATCTACTTTCATATTCTTATTTTTTTTTATTTCACAGGTTAAACCATCATGTGCATATGAATTTGAAGTTGTTGACAGTAGATGCAAGTCCTTTGTGGTAAACCTCAACTCTAGAAGTTGTACATGCGGCCACTTTCAATTAGATCAATTTGTGTGTGTTCATGCTGTGGCTGCAATCGGTATACGCCCACACCTTTCATGTTATACGTACATATCTTCATATTACACAAGAGATGCTTGGCTTGCTACATGGTCTGGTATCATGCATCCTATTGCTGATCCTGACAGTTGGTCAATTCCTGCTACTATTCAAAACCAGAGATGCAAGCCACCAAGTTGTTTGAAGCGTCCTCCTGGTCGCCCTAAGAAATGCAGGATTCCATCCATTGGAGAATATAGAGGTTCAAAACGTCAAAAATGTTCTAGATGCCATGTGCTTGGGCATAATAAGAAAACTTGTAGAAATCCAATTCCAATTAATACCCAGTGATGTAGATTTGTCCACTCATTTTATGTTGTCTTCTGTTTTTTTGTACTTTTAACAATTCTACTATGTGGTTTGGACTTGGTTATCATTTCTTTGAACGTTTAAGGTTTTGTGCTTTAGCCATTCTTGGCATTTAAGTGTTTATGACTTGTGCTATATCCAAATGTTTTATCCCAAATGTCATCTCAATAATGTAATGTCATTTTGTTTATGTATAAATGACATATGTGACATTTGATGGCATTTTGTATTCCACAAAATGTCATGTTACTTGTCAATTTGTTGTCATTTATTTACTGCATGTAAATGACATTCAATCCTAGTATCCATCTACATGTTATTATAAAAAATGCTCTAGTTAAACTGGGCAAGGGGACGTACGTCCCTTGAACAGATAGATTTCAAAGTTGATGTCATTTTGTTTTCTAAAAACTGTCATCCAAATGTCATTTATCACGGATTTTCTTCATGTAAAAATCCGTGCTTACATAAATATAAGTAC